ACGGGGATTCGAATCTACGATCTTCAGACTGCGAGTCGAGCGCCTCTACCACCTGGCCATGCTGGGGCCCATATAGTACTGTACAGTGTATTCTACATCAAGAGAAAGGTGATATGCATGGGAAAGTATTGTATTGTATTGTATTGTACAGTAAAAATGAAATAATAAGTACAGTATTGTGCAGCATTTATTATTATTTCTTGAAAAGCTGCAAACCAGTCTGTAAAGAAAAGATAAAAAATTACATTTGTTGAACATGACTGTACACAGTATTTTACACCGACATAAGCATAGTTAAAACATTTTACTGTAAAAGTCATATCTGTCCATTTTCCTAAAATTATCCGGAAAATGGGTGGTGCCGGAAAAGAGATTACCGGATCTGGGAGGTTCGACAGTATTTATATATGTATCTATGTATGTATGTGTATATATGTATTTATTTATGTTTAGTAATATTTGAGGTGAATCGCTTTTACCTTCAGTATGAGAAAATAAAGTTAATTAATTTGGTGTCTGTTCACACAATCTTCCTATGAAAGTTTACGATTTCTTGACATTGAGAAACAAGCTTTTAAACAAATGTCAGCGTTTTTTTATTATACGAGCACGAGAAAGACAAAATGATAAAATAAAAGCCTAAAATAAGTAAACTTAATATGAATCACCTTGATTTAGGATGGAAACAAATACTTAGATTTGGATGCGGCATTAACTCGTTACTTAACGGGGTGTCATAAATCGGGCGCTTGTCACCAACAATTTTACTGCCCTTCGGCCACCAATAAGATACGTTCTGCTCAACCCAGTGGAATATGACTGGAAGAAAGTAACGGAGCCGGCAACAGAACGTCGGGGGAGAGAGAGAACACCTCTCGATCCCATGAAATATACATTCACTTCAATCGTGGTACCGCGTCTGTGCGTAGTGCTAGAATTCTGAAGTTGGAATCCGTCCAGAAACGTCGAAACTTCTTCCCGAGGAGCGTGGTTGCTCCAGACTGAAAAATAACTAACGTTACTCTTCCCTTTTTTTTCCCGTTTCCTCGACACAAGATTTCAGAATTAGTTTATTTATTAAGGACAAAGTATGAAGTGTACAGAAGTTCTGGCGAAATTTAAAATATTTTTTATTTTTGTTACGTGGCAGAATATCGGACAAGTGGTGACCTTTAACATTGACCTTAAGACCGTCAATGTCTACCGTGGCCCATCGGAGACATATTTTGGATTTTCTGTAGCACAACATCAAACTGAAGGCGTTAGTTGGTGAGTTTTGAAAAGTATCATCTAAATTTAAGTTCTATCCGCATCATGTTTAAGCATATGTAATAGATAATTATTTGATTAGGCAAAATAAAACAAACTTTTTTTTTTTTTTACTTGTGTTTACGGGCAAATTAAATCATTAAACTTAGTCGCTGTAACATTTTGTAACTTAGGAAAGTATGTTTAGATTCCAAAGCGTTTTGTTAATAGAGCTTTAGTGTTAGCACAAGTTCGAAGTAAGTAAGACTTAAAACCACTCGTAAAACAAAGCAATAGCAATCAGAGAGACTGCACACCCCCGCCCCGCCGTTCCTTTTCGGGATGGCACGAGTTTGTATTGGATAACGTAAAATTTCACCTTCGAAAACCCTTCTCAGATCCAGAATGATCAACTATCCGGGTAATTTTTTGTAGTGTGTCCATGAAATTTGGTACAAGTTTGTTCACAATTTACAGTTATTAACAGAAAACTATGAAAACTATGAAAAAGTCCCCATTATAAAACATGCTTCAAAGTGATCCAGAACTCTTATCCCGAATTGAACCAGAACCAAATATGGGGAAGACTGTCCCATACTGACTTCCCATCTTGTATAAAAATTATTAGTTTTCGAGATACTTGCCCGAAAACACAGACGCGATTGCAGGGCGAGTGTAAATACCTGCAATTTAACATCAAAGAAAGTTAATACGGTTTTAAGCACTGAAATGTAATCACATTAACTAACATAAAAATAAAAGAACTTGTAGTATAGCAAAGATATACGAGCAAACAATCGAACTGGTTTTCTTTGAAGTGAATTATATTCTTAACTTTGCCTATTATAATTTTCTGTCAAGGCTTCTCTCTCTACACCAAACGCGATGCGATTTTTTGCGCAGTGTCCCGATACTTTTGCTACGACATGCCAAGGCAAGGTACGCGTCACGGTGACGCAATGGGTAAAATACAATTCTCAAATTACTACGATGTACACTGATAATGACAAACGAACTATATCCCAGAGAGGACGAAGAACTTTATTGCGACTCATTTAGAACTGTAGACGTCACAGACGAGTTTAGATGTGTGAAATACTGTAAAGTAGAGAGTCACAAACGAGGAGTTGAGATGTGTGAAATACTGTAGAGAGTTACAGACGAGGAGTTTAGGTGTGTGAAATACTGTAAAGTAGAGAGTCACAGACGAGGAGTTTAGATATGTGAAATACTGTAAAGTAGAGAGTCACAGACGAGGAGTTTAGATGTGTGAAATACTGTAAAGTAGAGAGTCACAGACGAGGAGTTTAGGTGTGTGAAATACTGTAAAGTAGAGAGTCACAGACGAGGAGTTTAGATATGTGAAATACTGTAAAGTAGAGAGTCACAGATGAGGAGTTTAGATGTGTGAAATACTGCAAAGTACAGAGTCACAGACGAAGAGTTTAGATATGTGAAATACTGTAAAGTAGAGAGTCACAGACGAGGAGTTTAGATGTGTGAAATACTGTAGAGTAGAGAGTTACAGACGAGGAGTTTAGATGTGTGAAATACTGCAATGTACAGAGTCACACACGAAGAGTTTAGATACGTGAAATGGTGTAAAGTAGAGAGCTTTTGGAGGAACTGCAAATCTGTACAGGAGCTGAAACTAGATTTAATCAGTATTTGTCAATGACCAGACCTCGGTTTGATGAACTGCTTCAGGTTGTGGGTCACCATATATACGAATGGAATCTTAAGTACAAAGAGACCATCAGTTTAGAAAAATGGTTGTCTGTATCTCCATTCACTGTTTGTTGACTATTGATTCATTGAGTGACACTTTTTAATTATATATATATATCATTGTTTGTTTGTAGTTAAGCACAAAGCTATATGGGCTGTGCTGTGCCCACCACGGGGATCAAAACTCGGTGTTTAGCGTTATAAGCCTTTAGGCATTGAATGTTAAAAAAATCAAAAACAAAAAATAACAAATCACTATTGCATTTCAACTGACAGTGTCCTCGTGATAACGTCAGAGCAATATTATTAAGAAAACTGACGATTAGGGACACCAGTCCGTTAAGTTAAACTTTGTTAAGTTTGGTTAGATTACCTTGATAAAGGCCGGGTTTAGCGCTCCAGATTGTGAATCCGTGATTTCACGAATCGCACCCCATTGCCGTAAACTCGCGCTTCGCAAGTTGGGGCTTTGGATGCATTATAAGAGTGACGGTTAAATCCCACACATTCGATTAGAGTAGCCAAAGTGTCGGTAGTGAGTGCTATTAACTAGCTACCTTTGCACGAATATCCGAAATAAAGCAAACTTCCTAATAAGGGTTTATGAATCTAGAGTTTAGGTTCGTCGTTGTTGATCTTGCTAGCTCTCTTTGATCAGTGCTTATGGACCTCGAGTTTGTATACGACGTCGTTGATTTTGCTAGCTCTCCCCGACAAGAGTTTATGGACGTCGTTGGTCTTGGTAGCTATTTTTGATAAGGGCTTATGGACCCTGATTTTGGATACGATGTCGTTGGTATCCTAGCTCTTTTTGATAAGGACTTATAGACATCGAACTTAGATACGACGTCGTTGGTGTTGTTAGCTCTTTTTGATAAGTACTTATGGACATCGAACTTAGATACGACGTCGTTGGTGTTGTTAGCTCTATTTGATAAGGGCTTACGGACCCTGATTTTAGATACGATGTCGTTGGTCTTTTAGCTCTTTTTGATAAGGATTTATGGACCTCGAGCTTAGATACGATGTCGTTGGTCTTGCTAGCTCTTTTTGATAAGGGCTCACGGACCCCGATTTCAGATACTATGTTTTTGGTCTTGCTAACTCTATTTGATAAGAGCTTATGGACCTTAATTTTAGATACGATGTCGTTGGTCTTTTAGCTCTTTTTGATAATATCTTATGGACCTCGAGCTTAGATACGACGTCGTTGGTCTTGCTAGCTCTTTTTGATAAGGGCTTACGGACCCCGATTTTAGATACTATGTTTTTGGTCTTGCTAACTCTTTTTGATAAGAGCTTATGGACCTTGATTTTAGATACGACGTCGTTGGTCTTTCTAGCACTTTTTGGTAATGACTTATGGACTTTGATTTTAGATACGACGTCGTTGGTCTTTCTAGCACTTTTTTGGTAATGACTTATGGATCTTGATTTTAGATACGATATCGCTGGTCTTGTTGGTTTGTTTTGATAAAAGCATATGGTGACCAAACCTTAGCCTTAATCTACTGGGTTATTAAGTGATTCTTGGGCCTTTTATCTAGCTTTATTTTACATTACTTCTACGTTGTTGTTGCTTTCTGATAAATTTTATTCACACATGCGTGCATCCCATCACAGAGTGAACTAAACCAACTTAGCAAAAAAAAAGTGCTGAGTAACAACCGACTCAGCATTCGTGCAAAACTAGTGGAGTAGCGCCGTTAAAATACTAAATATATATACATTTCACGTCTACAAGCGTGAGTTATGCTGATTCTAAGAAAACGTAAAACGATAATAGATTTACAGAGAAAGGTATCTACAATTTCTATAATAAATCTACCTTTCTTTTCCCCCTTCTCGTATAAACACGTTTTATTTTATTTTATAAACCTTTGGCGATTACGATAATTTTGTCAGGAAATCCCTTCACAAAAATATTTTATAAAAGTTAAAAAACAACAACAACAAATAATCTGTGTCCTAGTATAAACGAGTCTACGCATGTGCATAACATTGGGACATCTGTCAGGGAATGTAGGGCCGGTTTTTGTCTATTATTGTTTGTCCTGAGTGTATGTTTCTTAAAAGGTATCGTATGTCAGTGTTCAATGTAACAATCAGAGACCATTATTTACTCAAAGAGACACGATTTATAAACATTCAGTGACACCACCCTGCCACAAACAAGCACTGTGAAAAACCACATTTCCAGCAAATGCTTTCCCTCAAACGAATCGCACTGTGAAGTAATTTTAATATTCATTTTGTCTTAAAAACTAATCATGTTTTTACAATACTTTTATCGCATACCTTGCTTGAAACAGCTCGTCGATAATATTATCTTCCTCGTACAGAAACTACAATCCAGTTGTGATCCACTCGCTCATCCTACCTTGAAGAAAACATGCTATAATCTATTCCTAATCATACACTGTGTCTTAAGGAAGAAAAAACTACCCACTTATTCACTTTGGGTTAAACAAACCAATAGCTAACAACGTCTTAATCAAACGTCTTTTCTTGAGGAAGAAAGATTGATTCATTTATTCACCTTGCATTAAACAAACCAATAACTAACAACATCTTAATTAATCTTTAGTTCTTCCTCAAGAAAATACGTTTGATTAAGATGTTGTTAGCTATTGGTTTGTTTAATGCAAGGTGAATAAATGAATCTTTAGTTCTTCCTCAAGAAAATACGTTTGATTAAGATGTTGTTAGCTATTGGTTTGTTTAATGCAAGGTGATCTTTAGTTCATTTATTCACCTTGCATTAAACAAACCAATAACTAACAACATCTTAATTAAACGTCTTTTCTTGAGGAAGAAAGATTGATCCATTTATTCACCTTGCATTAAACAAACCAATAACTAACAACATCTTAATTAAACGTCTTTTCTTGAGGAAGAAAGATTGATTCACTCTGCATTAAACAAAACAGGAGCTAATAAAACCTCTTTGAGGAAACGAAACAAAAACTCCAGCTATGACTGACTCGCTCTCCCTGTCTTGAACAAACAATGACCCGAAGATACTGTGAGGACGATATGATAACCTTCTGCCTCCTGTTTACATACAAACCTATTAATGTTGTTCAGAAAAAACACAACGTGAAATACCTTTTCTCCACTTAAACCATCAGTTTATGTTGATGAGGTCTCTAATAGGCCCTGTCAAAATCAAGTAAACGGATTTAGTTTGAACATGTGTTGAGGTACACCAGGCTTGCTTGTACCATTAGCTGTAAGGCACGGGAGCTTTGAGGCTTCACCAAATGAGATCTAAAACAAAAAAACATTGAATA